GGGTGGAGCTGGGTGGAGTGTGTGATGTAGAAGGGTGGAGCGGGGTGGAGCGTGTTATGTAGAAGGGTGGAGCTGGGTGGAGTGTGTTATGTAGAAGGGTGGAGCTGGGTGGAGTGTGTGATGTAGAAGGGTGGAGCGGGGTGGAGCGTGTTATGTAGAAGGGTGGAGCGGGGGGTGGAGTGTTATGTAGAAGGGTGGAGCGGGGAGGAGTGTGTTATGTAGAAGGGTGGAGCGGGGTGGAGTGTGTTATGTAGAAGGGTGGAGCTGGGTGGAGTGTGTTATGTAGAAGGGTGGAGCGTGGCGGAGTGTGTTATGTAGAAGGGTGGAGCGGGGTGGAGTGTGTTATGTAGACGGGTGGAGCGGGGTGGAGTGTGTTATGTAGAAGGGTGGAGCGGGGTGGAGCGTGTTATGTAGACGGGTGGAGCGGGGTGGAGTGTGTTATGTAGAAGGGTGGAGCTGGGTGGAGTGTGTGATGTAGAAGGGTGGAGCGGGGTGGAATGTGTTATGTAGAAGGGTGGAGCGGGGTGGAGTGTTATGTAGAAGGGTGGAGCGGGGCGGAGTGTGTTATGTAGAAGGGTGGAGCGGGGTGGAGTGTTATGTAGAAGGGTGGAGCGGGGCGGAGCGTGTTATGTAGAAGGGTGGAGCGGGGCGGAGCGTGTTATGTAGAAGGGTGGAGCGGGGTGGAGTGTTATGTAGAAGGGTGGAGCGGGGCGGAGTGTTATGTAGAAGGGTGGAGCGGGGCGGAGCGTGTTATGTAGAAGGGTGGAGCGGGGCGGAGCGTGTTATGTAGAAGGGTGGAGCTGGGCGGAGTGTGTTATGTAGAAGGGTGGAGCGGGGTGGAGTGTGTTATGTAGAAGGGTGGAGCGGGGGTGGAGCGTTTTATGTAGAAGGGCGGAGCGGGGCGGAGTGTGTTATGTAGAAGGGTGGAGCGGGGCGGAGTGTGTTATGTAGAAGGGTGGAGCGGGGCGGAGCATGTTTTGTAGAAGGGTGGAGCGGGGGGGCGGAGCGTGTTATGTAGAAGGGTGGAGCGGGGGCGGAGCGTGTTATGTAGAAGGGTGGAGCGGGGCGGAACGTGTTATGTAGAAGGGTGGAGCGGGGCGGAGTGTGTTATGTAGAAGGGTGGAGCGGGGCGGAGCGTGTTATGTAGAAGGGTGGAGCGGGGTGGAGTGTGTTATGTAGAAGGGTGGAGCGGGGCGGAGCGTGTTATGTAGAAGGGGGTGGAGCGGGGTGGAGTGTGTTATGTAGAAGGGTGGAGCTGGGTGGAGTGTGTGATGTAGAAGGGTGGAGCGGGGTGGAGTGTGTTATGTAGAAGGGCGGAGCGGGGCGGAGTGTGTTATGTAGAAGGGTGGAGCTGGGTGGAGTGTGTGATGTAGAAGGGTGGAGCGGGGCGGAGCGTGTTATGTAGAAGGGTGGAGCTGGGTGGAGTGTGTGATGTAGAAGGGTGGAGCGGGGTGGAGTGTGTTATGTAGAAGGGCGGAGCGGGGCGGAGTGTGTTATGTAGAAGGGTGGAGCGGGGCGGAGTGTGTTATGTAGAAGGGTGGAGCGGGGCGGAGCATGTTTTGTAGAAGGGTGTAGCGGGGCGGAGCGTGTTATGTAGAAGGGTGGAGCGGGGAGGAGTGTGTTATGTAGAAGGGTGGAGCTGGGTGGAGTGTGTTATGTAGAAGGGTGGAGCGTGGCGGGAGTGTGTTATGTAGAAGGGTGGAGCTGGGTGGAGTGTGCTATGTAGAAGGGTGGAGCGGGGTGGAGCGTGTTATGTAGAAGGGTGGAGCTGGGTGGAGTGTGTGATGTAGAAGGGTGGAGCGGGGTGGAGTGTTATGTAGAAGGGTGGAGCGGGGCGGAGTGTGTTATGTAGAAGGGTGGAGGGCGGGGTGGAGTGTGTTATGTAGAAGGGTGGAGCGGGGAGGAGTGTTATGTAGAAGGGTGGAGCGGGGTGGAGCGTGTTATGTAGAAGGGCGGAGCGGGGCGGAGTGTGTTATGTAGAAGGGTGGAGCGGGGCGGAGTGTGTTATGTAGAAGGGTGGAGCGGGGCGGAGCATGTTTTGTAGAAGGGTGGAGCGGGGCGGGCGGAGCGTGTTTTGTAGAAGGGTGGAGCGGGGCGGAGCGTGTTATGTAGAAGGGTGGAGCGGGGCGGAGCGTGTTATGTAGAAGGGTGGAGCGGGGCGGAGTGTGTTATGTAGAAGGGTGGAGCAGGAAGCAGGAGGGTCACAAGGGGTAGATGCAGTCAGTGATCCTGTACAAAGGTCTGTAGATAAGAGTTGGACATTTCCTGAGTGGCCAATCACTGGTGACACCGCTAGATGAGCCAATCACTGGTGACACCGCTAGATGAGCCAATCACTGGTGACACCGCTAGATGAGCCAATCACTGGTGACACAGCTAGGTGAGCCAATCACTGGTGACCCCAATAGATGAGCCAATCACTGGTGACACCGCTAGGTGAGCCAATCACTGGTGACTCAGGAAAACTTTCACCAAACTCCTCCATTGCCAGGAACAACACGAAGCTCTTCAGCAGACAAGGACAGCTACACCAGTCATGTGATAGGACCAATTTTTCAGAGACACTTCTCCTGTTGCTCGTGCACAACGTTGCCGCAGGGGATGACGGGGCATCGGCTCTCAGTTTAGTACATCGGAATAGAAATTCTATTTTGCAGGTCAGTACACACCACAAAGTAACCACAGCGCAGCCTCCTGAGAATGACATCACTTCCCCGAGAATGACATCACTTCCCCGAGAATGACATCACTTCCCGAGAATGACATCACTTCCTGATAAAAAAAATGTATTTATTTATTTTTTTTACGTACTGTCACCGCCACATCAGTTATATAATCACGCTGTACTGGACTGGTGACAATATGTAAAAAAAAAAAACTATTATATATATAATAATAATAATTATGTAATAAAAAATAAAATAGAAAAATGTGAAAAAAAATACAAATTAAATTATTATTTTTAGCATACTGTCACCAGTCAGTGTCCCTGATCACTGCCACACCAGATATATAATCACGCTGTACTGGACTGGTGTCAATATGTAATATATATATATAAAATAATTAATAAAAAAGAAAAGAAAAATTTGAAAAAAAAATAAAAATTAAACTATTATTTTAATTTTTTTTACATACATTTGAAAAAAAAATGTAATTATTTATTTATTTATTTTTTGTACACACTGTCACCAGTCAGTGTCTCTATCACAGCCACACCAGTTATATAATCACGCTGTACTGGACTGGTGACAATATGTATAAAAAAAAAAAAATATATATATAATAATAATTATGTAATAAAAAATAAAATAGAAAAATGTGAAAAAAAATACAAATTAAATTATTATTTTTAGCATACTGTCACCAGTCAGTGTCCCTGATCACTGCCACACCAGATATATAATCACGCTGTACTGGACTGGTGTCAATATGTAATATATATATATAAAATAATAATTAATAAAAAAGAAAATAAAAATTTGAAAAAAAATAAAAATTAAAACTATTATTTTAATTTTTTTTTACATACATTTGAAAAAAAAATGTAATTATTTTTTTTTTTTTTTTTGTACACACTGTCACCAGTCAGTGTCTCTGATCACAGCCACACCAGTTATATAATCACGCTGTACTGGACTGGGTGACAATATGTAAAAAAAAAAAAAATATATATATAATAATAATTATGTAATAAAAAATAAAATAGAAAAATGTGAAAAAAAATACAAATTAATTTATTTTTTTATTATTTTTAGCATACTGTCACCAGTCAGTGTCCCTGATCACTGCCACACCAGATATATAATCACGCTGTACTGGACTGGTGTCAATATGTAATATATATATATAAAATAATTAATAAAAAAGAAAAGAAAAATTTGAAAAAAAATAAAAATTAAACTATTATTTTAATTTTTTTTACATACATTTTTTATTTTTTTTTTTTTTTTTACATACATTTGAAAAAAAAAATGTATTATTTATTTATTTATTTTTTTTGTACACACTGTCACCAGTCAGTGTCTCTGATCACAGCCACACCAGTTATATAATCACGCTGTACTGGACTGGTGACTGGTGACAATATGTAAAAAAAAAAAAAATATATATAATAATAATTATGTAATAAAAAATAAAATAGAAAAATGTGAAAAAAAATACAAATTAAATGATTATTTTTAGCATACTGTCACCAGTCAGTGTCCCTGATCACTGCCACACCAGATATATAATCACGCTGTACTGGACTGGTGTCAATATGTAATATATATATAAAAAATAATTAATAAAAAAAGAAAAAAAAAAATTTATAAAAAAAAAATTTTAAAAAATTTTTTAAAATTCCCTGATTTTTAATTTTATTAATTATTTATTTTTTTTTTTTTACATACATTTGAAAAAAAAATGTAATTATTTTTTTTTTTTTTTTTTGTACACACTGTCACCAGTCAGTGTCTCTGATCACAGCCACACCAGTTTATATAATCACGCTGTACTGGACTGGTGTCAATAGGTTAAAAAAAAAAATAGAGATTTTTTTTTTAAATTTCTACATTTTCCAAAAAATTGTAACAAAAAATGACAACCTCCAAAAAAACTCCCCATGCCTCTCTCACTAAATACCTTGTACTGTCTATTTTCCAAAAATGGGTGATTTGGGGGTATTTGTACTATCCTGGAATTTTTGGGATACAATTTTTTTATGGGTATAGCGTTGCATGACCGAATTGTCAAAGCGCGACAGCGCTGAAAGCTGGAAATTAGCCTGGGCAGGAAAGGGTGTGGCGGTGCCCGGAAGGGGCGGGGTTAAAGGACATGCGACTTAAAAAATACACCAAAAACAAAAACTTTTTTTTATAGATTTCAATGGGAAAAGGGGGTTTTTTGGTGTTTTTTCCCCCATAGATATACATTCACAAACACAGGGAAGCGTTTTTCTTGAGCGTTTCTGGCGCTTTTTCTAACTCTTCGCTCGTTGCCGTTTGGTGTCTCCGCAGGTTTGAGCGCGGGAAGATCTACACGTACATCGGGGAAGTGGTGGTGTCTGTGAACCCGTACAAATCCGTCGATCTGTATGGGAAGGAAATGATCGAATACTACCGGGGGAGGGAGCTGTACGAGAGACCGCCGCACCTCTACGCCGTCGCTGACGCCGCCTACAAGGCCATGAAACGCCGAGCCAAGGACACGTGCATTGTGATCTCAGGTACACCGGGACCGGGAGACTCACCAGCAAGGACATAGCTGTCTATATACCCACATGGAAGAGAAATATATTTACAATATATTTAGAAAAAAAAAATTAAATATGTGACATATATTTACAGCATATTGGCCTACGCTAATATATTTTCACTAGTATTCTAAAAAAAATTCAATTTATATATATTTTCTCAAAGGCATATATTTTAAAAAATATATATATTTTTTAAATATATTCAGATTTTTTTTAACATAAAAAAATCATTTTAACATATGTTTTTACAAAAATGTAGATTAAATGTATTTTCAAAGCCATATATTTGAAAATGTATTTTGAAAAATATTTTTCATATTTTTTTAATATATAAAAAATGCATTTCAACAATATATATATATATATATATATAATATTTTTTTTTAAGTAAATGTATTTCTGAAAGGCATATATTTAAAAAAAATATATTTTTAAAATATATATTCATATTTTTTTAACATAAAAAAAGTCATTTTAACATATATTTTTACATATATTTGGAAATGCATTCCAAAAAATGTAGATTAAATGTATTTTCAAAGACATATATTTGAAAATGTATTTTTTAAAATATTTTTCATTTTTTTTAATATATTCAGATTTTTAAAAACATTAAAAAAAGTCATTTTTAACATATATTTTTACATATATTTGGAAATGCAAAAAAAAAAAATGTTTTTTTTTTTAAATATATATATTGAAATATATTTTTTAAGTAAATATATTTTCTAAAAGGCATATATTTAAAATATATATATTTTTAAAAAATATATATTCATATTTTTTTAACATAAAAAAAGTCATTTTTTAAACATATATTTTTACATATATTTGGAAATGCATTCCAAAAAATGTAGATTAAATGTATTTTCAAAGACATATATTTGAAAATGTATTTTTTAAAATATTTTTCATTTTTTTTTTTTAATATATTCAGATTTTTTTAACATTAAAAAAAGTCATTTTAACATATATTTTTACATATATTTGGAAATGCATTCCAAAAATGTTTTTTTTTTTTTAAATATATATATTGAAATATATTTTTTAAAAAAATATATTTTCTAAAAGGCATATATTTAAAAATATATATTTTTAAAAATACAAATACAGTTTGATTTTTTTTTAACATAATTTTTATTTTAAATATATTTTTCATATTTTTTTAATATATAAAAATGCATTTCAACACTATATATATATATATATATATATATATATATATATTTTTTTTTTTTTATAAATGAAAATATATTTTCTAATAGGCATATATTTAAAATTATATATTTATTTAAACTATGTTAAGTTTTTTTAACATAAAAAAATCATTTTAACACATATTTTTACATATATTTGTAAATGCATTCCAAAAAATGTAGATTAAATGTATTTTAAAAGACCTATATTTGAAAGTGTATTTTTAAAAATATTTTTCAGATTTTTTAATATATAAAAATATTTCAACGTATTTCAATAATATAGTAATTTTATATTAAAGTATATTTTTGAAATAAATATATTTTCTAAAAGCCATATATTTAAAAATATATATTTTTTTTATATATTCAGATTTTTTTTTTTACATAAAAAAAGTCATTTTAACATATATTTGTAAATGCATTCCAAAAATGTAGATTAAATGTATTTTCAAAGACATATAATTGAAAATATATTTTTAAAAATATTTTTTAATATAAAAAAAACACATTTATATACTGTGTGTTGAAATGCGTTTTTTTTATATATTAACAAATATATGAAAAATAAAAAAGTAATTTTAAACATATATTTTCACATATATTTATAAATGCATGCCAAAAATGTAGATTAAATGTATTTTCAAAGACATATATTTGAAAATGTATTTTTAATATTTGTTAATATATAAAAAAAAAGCATTTCAAACACACAGTGTATATATATATATATATATATATATATATATATATATATATATATACATATACAATAAAATAAATATATTTTCTAAAAGGCATATATTTACAAATATATATTTTTAAAAATATATTCAGATTTTTTTAACATTAAAAAAAGTAATTTTAACATATATTTTTACATATATTTGTAAATGCATTCCAAAAATGTAGATTAAATGTATTTTCAAAGTCATATATTTGAAAATTTATTTTTTAAAATATTTTGCATATTTTTTTTTTTAATATCTAAAAATTGCATTTCAAACACACAGTATATATATATATATATATATATATATAAATAATTATTATTTATTATACAGGATTTATATAGCGCCAACAGTTTGCGCAGCGCTTTACAATATAAGGGAGACAGTACAATTACAATACATTTCAGTACAGAAGGAATAGAAGGGCCCTGCTCGTGGAGCTTACAATATATATATATTTTTTTTTTTTATAAATATATTTTCTAAAACGCATATAATTAAAAATGTATTTTTAAAAAATATTTTCATATATTTTTTTAATATATAAAAAACACATTTCAACACACAGAATAAGTATATATATACACACACATTTTTTTAAGTAAATATATTTTCTCAAAGGTATATATTTAAAACTATATATTTTTTAAAATATACTCAGATTTTTTTAACATAAAAAAAGTAATTTTAACATATATATTCTTACATATATTTGTAAATGCATTCCAAAATTGTAGATTAAATGCATTTTCAAAGACATATATTTGAAAATGTATTTTTTAAAACATCTTGCACATATTTTTTTAATATAAAAAAATGCATTTCATCACACAGTGTGTATGTATATGTATGTATAGATAGATATATATATATATATATATATATATATATATATATATATATATATATAATTTTTTTTTTTTAAGTAAATATATTTTCTAAAAGGCATATCATTTAAAAATATATTTATTGTTAAAATATATTCTGATTTTTTTTTTAATTATATTGAATATGGACTAAATTGTAGTATTCCAAATATATGTCAATATATTTGTGAAAAAAATATTTTTAAACTATATTTAAAATGTATTTTTCTTCCACATGGGTAAAATATTGCAGTTTATATGCAGCATGAAAGTCAGCTTAGACCAATTTATGGTGCCCTAAAGAGGACCTGTTATGGGAATGCTGCCCAGGCAGTGACCAGTATTGTGGTCCCCCCACTGCCGATATTGTCCCTGTTCCTGACTCCCCGTGCCTCGTCCTGCCCTGCGTGTCTCTGTCTGGTGATGGCCGTCTTAGTAGAAGGGCGTGGCTTGCCTTCGGTGATTCGGTGACTGGTGGGGTAGTGATGAAGAAGCAGCAGCAGGAGAAATGGAGGAAGCATAGATCCCCAGAACGAATGAAACAGAAGCAGGGAGATCCTTGCAGTGCAGGCCCTCAGGTACAGCTTCCTCTCCAGCAAGGAGAACAGTGAGCGTAGAACGGGCCTACTGGAGCAGGAGTGGTCATAGCAGACATGAAGCCATAGCCATTGGTTGCCAGGAACTGATATGGAGCATGCATGCCGTGAAGGGATGACCTCCTACTGCAGCACTCCTCCTTCGAATCCCTCGTCCCGGCCCCGGGGCCAGTAGTTGTCCCTCTTCTTCCAACACAGCATTTCCCTGAATAAAAGTTGACCCCATATGTGCTCTTTCTTCTACAGGAGAGAGCGGAGCAGGGAAGACAGAGGCCAGCAAGTACATCATGCAATACATTGCGGCCATCACCAACCCCACCCAGAGAGAGGAAGTGGAGAGGTAAGTTCGTGGTCATTGAAAAGACAGTGGTGGGGTGTCAGTGCTCACTTACTCCTGGGAAGCCTTGGCTGATTTCATAAAGGGGTTTCGTGATTTCAAGGTTCTCCAGAATTGAGCGTTTCACTTTCCTTCACCTCATCCATTCACCGAAGAAGGAGGAACTTCAATGACCACTGTAGGATATTTCGGTGGATTACAGAAGCGGCCAGGCCAAGATCTCGCTCTCCTCCTTTTCCTAGTACAGGATCAAGAAGAATTCTTTGTATCTTCTGGCCATGAAACATCTCAAATGATGGCCTTCATCTAGAGAACATGGTCACCATCTTAAAAGTGGTGATGGGGGACTAGTCATGGTCCAGCTATTTCCCATTTTGCTGGACTCCGGAAAAGAACCCAGTATACAAAGAAGTGGTGGAGCCACGTCAGCTGAGTCCACCCTTGGCTTCTTGTATGTCTTGGATGCTCCAAGAATGATATCCACCCTTCCATAACTCGTGACAAGTGGGACTTTTCAGTGTGTTCACCCACCTTTGACTGTTTCGGCTACTCTTTTTACTCTATATAATACATGGCTCCAAAAACTGAAAGGAAGACTCTGAAAAACCCATCAGATCTCAATGGGGACGAATCTCCTGCTGGATCTCTATACTGACATGGACGGGGGGGATGGGTGAGGGACGTAAGAACGCCCCATTGTTTGATGGAAATGAAAATGATCGACCTACAGAGGACTGAATTCAAAGACACCCCGAAAATCAAAGTGAAGAAATGAAGCAGCAGGCGAGTCCATGTTGGTGAAATGTCATTGCAGCAACTCAGAATGGTCCTCAGTAGTCTGTGTGGCCCCCACGTGCTTGTATGCATGCCTGACAATGTCGGGGGGAGGGTCCTAATGAGACCACGGATGGTGTCCTGGGGGATTTCCTGCCAGATCTGGACCAGGACATCACTGAGCTCCTGGACAGTCTGAGGTGCAACCTGGCGGCGTCGGATGGACCAAAAACATGACATCCCAGAGGGGTTCTATTGGATTTAGGTCAGGAGAGCGTGGAGGCCATTCAATGGTATCAATTCCTTCATCCTCCAGGAACTGCCTGCATACTCTCCCACATGATGCCGGGTATTGTAGTGCACCAGGAGGAACCCAGGACCCACTGCACCAGGAGGAACCCAGGACCCACTGCACCAAGAGGAACCCAGGACCCACCGCACCAGGAGGAACCCAGGACCCACCTCACCTGGAGGAACCCAGGACCCACCACACCAGGAGGAACCCAGGACCCACCGCACCAGGAGGAACCCAAGACCCACTGCACCAGGAGGAACCCAGGACCCACAGCACCAGGATAAGCCCAGGTTCCACCACACCAGGAGGAACCCAGGACCCACCACACCAGGAAGAACCTAGGACCCACTGTACCAGGAGGAACCCAGGACCCACTGCACCAGGAGGAACCCAGGACCCATTGCACCAGGAGGAACCCTAGACCCACTGCACCAGGAGGAACCCAGGACCCACAGCACCAGGATAAGCCCAGGATCCACCACACCAGGAGGAACCCAGGACCCACCGCACCAAGAGGAACCCAGGACCCACCGCACCAGGAGGAACCCAAGACCCACTGCACCAGGAGGAGCCCAGGACCCACTGCACCAGTGTAGGGTCTGACAATGGGTCCAAGAATTTCATCCCCATATCTAATGGCAGTCAGGGTGCCATTGTCTAGCCTGTAGAGGTCTGTGCGTCCCTCCATGGATATGCCTCCCCAGACCATCACTGACCCACCACCACAACGATCATGCTGAACCATGTTACAGGCAGCAGAATGTTCTCCACGGCTTCTCCAGACCCTTTCACGTCTGTCACATGTGCTCAGGGGGAACCTGCTCTCATCTGTGAAAAGCACAGGGAGTCAGTGGTGGACCTGCCAATTCTGGGGTTCAATGGCCAATGCCAATCCAGCTCTATGGTGCCGGGCAGTGAGCACAGGGCCCACTAGAGGATGTCGGGCCCTCAGGCCACCCTCATGAAGTCTGTTTCTGATTGATTGGTCAGAGGCATTCATACCAGTGACCTGCTGGAGGTCATTTTGTAGGGCTCTGGCAGGGCTCATCCTGTTCCCTCCTCGCACAAAGGAGCAGATACCGGTCCTGCTGATGGGTTAAGGACCTTCTACGGCCCTGTCCAGCCCTCCTAGAGGACCATCATGTCAAGGTAGATAGATCTTGACCATCATGTCAACGTAGATAGATTGTGGCCATCATGTCAACGTAGATAGATTGTGGCCATCATGTCAACGTAGATATATTTTAGTCATCTTTTAGAAACTCCCTAGCAGCAGAAGGGACCTTCACTTGGTCCAGGGAGGCCAACCAATAATGATTTATTGTCGAGCGAATCGAAGTATCCGAAGTGGAATTCGAGTCGAATTTCGGAAAAATTTCGATTCGTGCCGAATCCGAAAAACAGCCTAATTCGGACGCGCGAATCGAAATTTCGAAATTTTTCCGAAAATGGCGGCTGACATGTGCGGCGGCGACGGAGCGGGGATGTCGGGGAAGGCGCGCAGACAAGGCGCGCTGCCCCATAATGCATTCCTCAACGACATGTGATCGCATCAGCCAAATCAGCAGCCAGCCAGCCAGCACACTGTGTAATGGTCGAGGTATATATAGCGGCCATTTTGGAAATCTTCATTTGCCTGCAGTCATTGAACAGAGGCAGACCGCTCTGTACTAGGGACAGGGACAGAGTTAGGGCCACAGAAACGAGAATTGGGGACAGAGAGAAGTTACTTAGGGACAGAGAACCATTACTCAGGGACACAGACTTGTTAATGAGGGCCACAGAATCGTTATTTAGGGACAAAGAAACGCTAGTTAGGGCCACAGAATTCATACTCAGGGACAGACAGAATTGTTACTCAGTGCCAGAGAATTGTTACTTAGGGCCACAGAAACGTTATTAGGGCCACAGAATTTTTACTCAGGGACAGACAGAATTGTTACTGAGTGCCAGAGAATTGTTACTCAGGGACAGACAGAATTGTTACTGAGTGCCAGAGAATTCTTACTCAGGGCCACAGAATTCATTCTCAGGGACAGACAGAATTGTTACTCAGGGACAGACAGAGAATTGTTACTGAGTGCCAGAGAATTGTTACTCAGGGACAGACAGAATTGTTACTGAGTGCCAGAGAATTGTTACTCAGGGACAGACAGAATTGTTACTGAGTGCCAGAGAATTGTTACTCAGGGACAGACAGAATTGTTACTGAGTGCCAGAGAATTGTTACTCTCACAGACACAAAATTGTTACTTGCACAGACACAGAATTGTTACTTGCACAGACACACAATTGTTACTCAGGGCCACAGAATTCATACTCAGGGACAGACAGAATTGTTACTGAGTGCCAGAGAATTCTTACTCAGGGCCACAGAATTCATACTCAGGGACAGACAGAATTGTTACTCAGGGACAGACAGAATTGTTACTGAGTGCCAGAGAATTGTTACTCAGGGACAGACAGAATTGTTACTGAGTGCCAGAGAATTCTTACTCAGGGACAGACAGAATTGTTACTGAGTGCCAGAGAATTGTTACTCTCACAGACACAAAATTGTTACTTGCACAGACACAGAATTGTTACTCGCACAGAGACAGAATTGTTCTCAGGGCCACAGAATTCATACTCAGGGACAGACAGAATTGTTACTGAGTGCCAGAGAATTGTTACTCAGGGACAGACAGAATTGTTACTGAGTGCCAGAGAATTGTTACTCTCACAGACACAAAATTGTTACTTGCACAGACACAGAATTGTTACTTGCACAGACACACAATTGTTACTCAGGGCCACAGAATTCATACTCAGGGACAGACAGAATTGTTACTGAGTGCCAGAGAATTCTTACTCAGGGCCACAGAATTCATACTCAGGGACAGACAGAATTGTTACTCAGGGACAGACAGAATTGTTACTGAGTGCCAGAGAATTGTTACTCAGGGACAGACAGAATTGTTACTGAGTGCCAGAGAATTGTTACTCTCACAGACACAAAATTGTTACTTGCACAGACACAGAATTGTTACTTGCACAGACACACAATTGTTACTCAGGGCCCTCAGGGACAGACAGAATTGTTACTGAGTGCCAGAGAATTGTTACTCAGGGACAGACAGAATTCTTCTCAGGGACACAGAATTGTTACTCTGGACAGACACAGAATTGTTACTGAGTGACAGAGAATTGTTACTGGGACAGACAGAATTGTTACTGAGTGCCAGAGAATTGTTACTCAGGGACAGACAGAATTGTTACTGAGTGCCAGAGAATTGTTACTCAGGGACAGACAGAATTGTTACTGAGTGCCAGAGAATTGTTACTCTCA